GAAAGCCAAGATATAAGACGGGGTGTGTCGATATAAGGCCATTACCGATTCGGCAGACGCACCGCCAAGCCCTTCCGCCCCGCACTCAGCACAGACTTCGCACTCGAGATAGAGTCTGGAGGCCCACCATGAACTCCTCTGCGCCAGGCACCTACTCTTGGTCGTATAGCATCAGGGCCAACTTCTATGCCCTGACGCCGGCCGAGACCTACTACGAGAACGTCTGGCAGGTGCCCAACATGGTGGCCAAGGTGGGTACAGACACAGGCTCAAGGCTCAAGGGAGAGAGAGCTGTTCAAGAGTGCCTGCTCTTTTTTTTTAAATAAAGTGAGAGGTATAGGTTACCTAGGATCTTGAGATTGGGGTTAAACAGTATTACTACGACGTGCCAATATATCTTTGGCATTGTGAAGATATTCATTTTCATTCAAATATTATTCTACACCTTAGTAATAATACATAATCCTCATCTGAAGATAAGAGCTGACCTACACCAGAGATGTTATTAAAACAAACAGACAAACAGATTGCACACTGTTCATTATTACTAATATTTATGGCGGTTTTTCTGTCTGTAATCTGGAACTTCAAGTTTTCCCCAAGAAATAACAATAAATAAAATAAAAAGATAAAGAAAGTAAATGTATACATTTAAATATACCGACTGTTGTTCATCTCCTGGCATTCTGAAAGTGCAACTTCAAATCGCTACGCGCCACGTGGCATCTGACGATATGCACATATTACCACACTTCCGTCCGTATTCAACATGAATGCGGGTCGACTTTCGTCCTTATTCCCTTCCGCCGTTTCCAGGCTCTGCCCGTGATGATCCTGATGTCCGTGATCGAAGCAGTGATCCTGAAGCTGACGAATCGCAATGATAACTGGCGTCTCCACATCGCCGTCCTGAACTACTCGAGCGGCGGCCTCTCGGAAGCGCTCAACAAGTAAGTCCAGGCAGGCGGCGGCGCGGGCGCGTGGTCACGGGGAATCGAGGCGGGACCTGGGCTGGTGGGCCGGCAGCGCGGAGATGGAAGCAACGATAGTAATAATGGCTGGGTTTATTATCGTTGTTGTTATTGTCATAGCTTATCATTATCATTAATTAGCATTAATTAACATTAATTAGCATTAACGTTATTGCTATCGCTATCGATATTAGTTTTAGCATAAGTATTAGCATTATCAAGATTATTATTATTATTATCATTATTATCATTATTATCATTATTATTATTATTATTATTATTATTACTATTATTATTGTTGTTGTTGTTGTTAATACTATTATTATTATGATGATTATTATTAATTTTATTCTTTTGCTTGTTATTATTATCTTCATCATCATATTATTATTATCATTATTATCATTATTATTAATATCATAATCATTGTCATTATTATTACTATTATAGCAATGACAATGACAATGATGATGCTGATCATGACAATAATGATAATAACAAAAATGATAATAATGATGAAGATGGTGATGATGTTGATCATAATGATAACGATAATGATAATGATGATAGAAGTAGTATTAATAATAATAACAATAACAATAATAATAGCAATAGTAACAATTGTAATAACGATAGTAATGATAATAATAATGATAACAATACTAATCATGATCATGACAATGAGGATGATAATAATAATAATAATAATGATAATAATGATGAAGATGGTGATGATGTTGATCATAATGATAACGATAATGATAATGATGATAGAAGTAGTATTAATAACAATAACAATAATAATAGCAATAGTAACAATTGTAATAACGATAGTAATGATAATAATAATGATAATGATAATGATAATGATAATGATGATAGAAGTAGTATTAATAATAATAACAATAATAATAGCAATAGTAACAATTGTAATAACGATAGTAATGATAATCATAATGATAATAATAATAATAATAATATAATAATAATAATATAATAATAATAATAATGATAATAATGATGTTGATGATGAGGATGATAATAATAATAATAATAATGATAATAATAATGATAATAATGATGTTGATGATGAGGATGATAATAATAATAATAATAATAATAATAATATAATGATAATAATAATAGCAATAACAACAAAAATAGTAATAATATTGATAATGATAACGATAGTGATAGTAATAATAACGACAATAATAATGATACCACTAATTATGAAAAAAAACAACAACAATTATAATAGAAACATAATAATAATGATATTAATAACAATGAAAAATAATAGTGATAATAATAACGAAAAAAATAATAAGATTAATAATGATAATAATAACACTAATAATGATAATAATAACAATAATAATGATATTAATAGTAACAATCAATAGAAAAAAAATAATGATAATATTAATATTAATATCAACAATAATGATCATAATATTCATAATGATGGTAATGATAATGATAATGATAGTAATAGTAATAATAGTCATAATAATAGTAATGATAACAACAACAATAAAAAATAATAATAATGATGGAAATAACAATAAGAATAATAACATAGTAATGATAATAATAATTATAATATTGATATTATTTATGATAGTAATGATAATCATAATGATAATAATAATGATAATGATAATAAAGATGGTAATGATATTGATAATTCTAATCATGATAATAATGATAATAATGATGTTGATGATGAGGATGATAATAATAATAACAATAATAATAATAATAATAATAATAATAATAATAATAATAATAATAATAATAATGATAATAAATAAACTCAATTAACAACATAGATTCTAATAGTAATACTGATAACAAAAATGGTGATAATGATTATTGTAGTAATATTAATAACAATGATAATGATAATGATAACAATACTAATCATGATCATGACAATGAGGATGATAATAGTAATTAAATAGTAATAACAATTATGAGAATAATAATAATAATAATAATAATAATAAAAATAATAATAATAATAATAATAATAATAATAATAATAAAATAATAATAATAATAAGGAAGAAAGAGGAAGGGGTCTAATAAGCATAGAAGATTGCGTCCTAATTGAAAAGTCGTGTCTGTACAGCTATGTATCTGCGAGCGAAGATTTGCTGTTAAGGGAGAGTTTGAACGAAAGTGTGGTTGCTGTGGGTCATGATAAAGAGACTATTTTGACTAACAGAAAGAGTAAATTTCTAGAGAAGAAACTTTACTGTGTATTCTTCCAAGCAACCGAATTCAGAGGCGTGAAGAGTTGGGACTGGTTGAGGAAGGGAGATTTGAAGAAGGCAACGGAGGGGACACTGATGGCTGGTCAAGAACAGGCTATCAGGACAAGATCTCTGCAACACCGAATTGATAGAGTTGATATATCCCCCAATTGCAGAATATGTGGCGAACGAGAAGACTGTTGCTCATATAGTTTCTGAGTACGGAAAGCTTGCGCAAAAACAGTATAAACAATGGAGGCACGACAAAGTAGCCCAGATCATACATTGGCAGCTTTGCAAAGAGAATAACTTAGAACACAAGTGATATGATCACCGGCCAAAGGCTATAGTCGAAAACCAAAGCGTAAAGCTCCTCTGGGACATGCGCGTTCAAACTGATAGGGAACTGGCCCACAGTAACCCAGATATCATCGCTTTCAACAAGGATAAACGAACATGTCTCATTATCGATGTCACCTGCCCATTTGCCCACAGGGTCCCCGAGAGAAAAAGAGAAAAGATTGACCGCTATGATGAACTTAAGTGGGAACTAAAGAGATTATGGAATTGTAGTGAAATAAAGATAGTTCCCATTGTTATCGGGGCTTTTGGCACTATCTCTACAAGATTTCATTCATGGCTTACACAAATCAGCCGAGATCTGCACTTTGATCTCTTACAGAAAGCTTGCCTATTAGGAACTGCAAGAATTCTGCGTCACGTTCTTAACATCTAAGGCAAAGGTCGTTGCTCGATGTTAAAGGAAAAACAACCGGCCATACACGACCATTAAAGGCTGTGATTAAAACTGATAATAATAATAATAATGATAATAATAATAATAATAATAATAATAGTAATAATAATAATGATAACAATAATAATAATGATAATAATAATGATAATAATGATAATGATAATAATAATGATAACAATAATGATAATGATAATAATAAAAGTATTAGTAATAATAATAATAACGATAATAGCTTTTATAATGGGTACAATAATGAAAATAATAAAAATATCATTATTATTAACACAATAATAATAATGACAATAATAATAACAATAACAATAACAATAACAATAGTAATAATAATAATAACATTAATGAAAGTAATGATGATGATGATAAAAATTATAATAGTTATGATAATGATGATGATAATAATGATAATAATAATAATGATAATAATAATAATGATCACACTGCTGATGATGATTAGTAGCGATGCTGTGCTAGATCCGTGATCAGACTCTCCTGTTCCTCCGCACGTCCCTTCCCCGCCTCAGCTTCGTGTTCCGCGGAGCCGAGTTGTCCTTGTACATTTGGGTCTACGACAACTGGCGCCTCAGCTGCCTGGCGTGGGATTCCCTCTACACCTACTTCCTGGCTCTGCTGGGGGTCGAATTCTGCTTCTACTGGTGGCACAGAGCGTCGCATGGTAAGGGCGCTGCAGTATGCATAACCACAAGCACATGTGTCAATATCTGTGGTGATTCATTATCTACATGGATTCACTATCAGTTCACGCAAGGTTCGAAAGTACCATTCATTTTCATTACTTTTTTATTGTTATTGTTATCCTCTTCCGCGCCATCATCACTGTAATCGCCCTCGCCATCGCCATCGTCACTGCCAGCGCCGCCATCATCATCTCCATCGTTATCATTGTCATTGTCTTTATTATTTCATCAATATTATCAACAACATACTTATTTATTGTACTACCATTATCATTATCTTTATCACAATCATCATTAT